TATGTTTGATGCAAACAAAAATTGTAATAGAAAAATAAAATCCGAGTCACATATGTAAAATTCAAATAGAACCAACTTTTTCAAGTGAACTTTTTCGATATTCGAACAAATAAGCCTACTTTCAGCGATTAATTTGAAAAAATGTCACTTTTGACATGTAGCGGAAGTCACGTGACCCCGATTGATGCAGCTTTTTTGAAGCGAAACTCAACGTCCAACTCGAATTCCAAAATGAGTCATTGATAAAACTTTTTCCCATATATGATGCCGACTTTATGGATGACACTGTATGTTATCATGTGAAACAGAAATATAACTCATGAAAGCGAATCAACATGCAAGTTTCATTCTATAATTATTAATATACCCGAAAAGTACTAGACAAACTTTTTTCCAAAAAAACTTTGACACACTGTATATTATCTCGGAAACCGATAAGCTATGTATATGTAGAAATTATCGTTTAGGTATACCTATATTGAAACCGTTACTCTTATGACGTCGCAGTGACGTATCTATGACGTCTTAAAATCACGTCGGTGTGACGTACCAATTTGGTGAGCTTCGTCATTTGAGAAATTTTTAAATAATCTACTATTTAGATTTTTGTTGGGTGACAAAGAATGCATCAATATATATATTATTCAACAAAGTGAAGCCAAATTCGCCAACATCCTTTCCATTGCTATCAAACTATTCTTTGTTTGCTTACATCTCGCCGACACAAACTACATAATTTTTTATACAAATACGAGTAACTGATTGCATTCTGATGGAGATGCGTACTGAAGGATGGCGCTGCTGAATAGGCGATTGAATCAACATGACACAGGAGGGACCCACCAAGCAGACTCAATAATGCATAATCAATATTATATAATGTCATCAGAGGCTAGTGGTGTTAATCACACCATGTTAAAGGTTTTTTTTTACGTATCATCGCCAAATTCAATCGTCATTTTGACGTCAGTCAAACGTCACAGTTTGGTGAGTGAATGACGTCAATACGACGTGAGTAATATGACGTCATTGGGCTGTGACTTATTCACGTCATTATCACGTCAATGCGACGTCAACTACTGACGTCACCTTGGTCATTCAAGTGACGTAAAAAAGACGTAACTGTAACGGCATCTGGTTGCCTGGGTAATGTATTTAAATTCGGTATATGGTTTCATTTTTGAATGGGTAATTTTTCGACCAGAAAGCCATTTCGGACATTTTATCCAGTGGTGCCCTACAGGGGGTTGTGGTAATTTTTCCTCCCATATTTTCTACACCACTGATTGAATTTCGATTATTTCCAATTCCTCGAATTCATTGTTCAATTTTGCTCAAAAAATGAATCACCTCCAATTGAGCTGAAATGAACAGTTTTCGAGATATTCGACCCAAAATAGAAGATTGCTTATGCATAGTAATATTTCATCATTTTCAGTAGTAGAAAATTGCAAAAATATTTTTCTGGTGTTGAATAGATTTGATACTATTCAGATCCCATTCGGTACCTGAACAGAAATGGTTGTTGCATGCATAAAGAGAAAACAAACATTTTTGTAATTTTCTACTACTGAGGAAGATGAAAAATTACTATGCAAACTTCTATTTTGAGTCATATATCTCGATAACTGTTCGTTTTAGCTCAGTTGAAGGTGATGCATGATTGAACAATCAATTCGAGGAATTGGAGGTAATCGAAATTTCATCAGTGGCGTAGAAAATATGGGAGGAAAAGTTTTCACAACGCCCTGTAGCGCACCTCTGGATAAAATTCTTTTCCTGGTCAAAAAATTGACCATTGAAAGATGAAACCATACACGGAATTTGAATGCATAATATCCAATTTTTTCTGAGATATTGCGGAAAAACTATTTTAATTTCTCAACTTCGACGCCCTGTATCTCGAGAACTGAAAACTTGTGGACCGTATGTCCTTATCTCAGTGAATATGAAATCACGAAGGCTATCACCTGTCAAGCGTTGTCGGTCGTATTTCGCAACACCCTGTATACCCCGATGTCCCGATGGGGCTGAAAAAAAAACACGCTGAGGCGTTCTTTAAATAAGCATAGTAGGGTACCAATAAAAGAAAAATTCTCGTTTTTTGTCCGCTTCGCGTCGCTAGACCACACAACCTCGCGCTAAATTCTAATACTTCATCCCCTCCCCTTGTATAATAAATAACTATTTTGCTCTGTGTGGATTCTCTATGATGAGCAAGTATTTTTTTAACAACTTCCTCATGCTTGTTGCTCATAGTTTCCAAACAGGAAGCTCTCGAAATCTATCATAACATTTTATAACAATTTGTTCGATCAATTATTATCAATGTCCTTGTGTTTATTACTACTGATTATTGATCTTCGGCCGAAATACGGAAGAATAAGGGGAATGAAATATGAAATATAATACAATAACTGTTCGGGAACTCATTCATCATGAATCAATTACCTTAATGAATATTCCAGGCAAATAGTGTCAAAATAGGTAGGTATTTGAACTTTGTACACAAGCAGACGTGAGCTACCTAAATTGAAAAAGCCAGTGTTGTGTGTTCACACTTTTGTCTTTGAATTCAGAGTTTTTCATCTGAATTCAGACTTTATTCTCTGAATGTAGACTTTTTATTCTCAATTCAAACTTCATTCACCCAATTCAGAGTTTATTCCCTGAATCCAGACTTCTTGCGATGATTCATTGAAAACCATGTGACAGATTACTATGCAACCAAAGAATACATTGGTATCTCTTTAACGTGGGTGGAAAAGATACACCTCATCAAAAATAGTCACGTGGCATTCAATCATTGTTGAAGACCCGGTATTATATGTGTACGTGTGTACAGGGTATTCTAATCCTTGACCGGCCGACTTTGAATTCATCTATTTCACCTGATATTACATTTTCACGAGAATTGCTAGCATAGGTAGAATACTAGAGAATATTAGTTGGTTTCGTTCAGTAAGAAATGTCCGTAATGGTATCCGTAATCAAAATACAAGATATATCGAAGACTGGAACCTTTGGCACGATAATACACTACACTGTTTTACCACAAACCAAAACGATTTTTTAACGCCTCGACACGTGTTTCGCTAACTATGTTAGCATCTTCAGGAGAAGATTAAAACTAAATATCCTATTCTAGTGTGCTGCTTATATACTAGGTATATGTTCACCCAACTGTGAAAAATACTAACCGTCAAGTTAATGTTTGTCATGGTTGAGTTCACATGTTAATCTTAATTTTTATTTTACTAAACTATATAGAGGGCTATATGGAATAGGTCCATTATCCTTATTCATTACTCTATTACTATTCTTAATTATCTCTAAACTTTCATATGCGTCTAGTTTTCTAATGTTATTAACTTGCTTAACTAATTTGAGGTTAGTAACATGTGTGTTATGATTGTGATTGAACATATGTTCGGCTTCACAAGATTTATCTAACCTGCCATATTTTAAATGGGCTATGTGTTCTTTGAACCTTGTTTTTATGGGTCGCCTGGTTTGGCCTATATATGTTTTATCACTATCAATGCTGAAAGAAATGTTGTTTATAAAGTGGCTGGCGTCAATGGGTATGATATCAAAATAGTAGATAAATTAATACGTAGACATAAATTTAAGTTAACACTTCGATATTCTACGACGACTTTTCAAGCGGATAAAAAGAACTCTAGAAGAATCCCAATCCCGTACAATCCCAAGTATATGAAGGGACTTGATAAGGTTTTCAAAGACTTAGGTTTTGAAAGCGTTTATCAGTCTGGGTCAAAATTAGGCAATTTATTAGGCAATCCGAAAGATAGAGTGGACACACTTGAAAAGTCGGGAATATACGAAATAAGTTGTAATGATTGTGATAAAACATATATAGGCCAAACCAGGCGACCCATAAAAACAAGGTTCAAAGAACACATAGCCCATTCAAAATATGGCAGGTTAGATAAATCTTGTGTATATAGCCGAACATATGTTCAATCACAATCATAACACACATATTACTTACCTCAAATTAGTTAAGCAAGTTAATAACATTAGAAAACTAGACGCATATGATATGAAAGCTTAGAGATATTTAAGAATAGTAATAGAGTAATGAATAAGGATAATGGACCTATTCCATATAGCCCTCTATATAGTTTAGTAAAATAAAAATTAAGATTAACATGTGAACTCAACCATGACAAACATTAACTTGACGGTTAGTATTTTTCACAGTTGGGTGAACATATACCTAGTATATAAGCAGCACACTAGAATAGGATATTTAGTTTTAATCTTCTCCTGAAGATGCTAACATAGTTAGCGAAACACGTGTCGAGGCTTTAAAAAATCGGTTTGGTTTGTGGTAAAACAGTGTAGTGTAAAATACAAGATGTTGAAATAAAAATGTTTACAAATTTTTTACGATAATTTCGGAACTACCGATAAGTAGTACTGATAACAATAATGAAATGAAATGGAAATGGATCAAAATAAAAGGAACCCGCAGAATTTTAAGGTAAATTGGGTCCCAGGGTGGATTTTTCTCAATTTTTGATATGATGTAGTTTATGTAGTTCTATAAAATATTTTCACTAAGCCAACCCCCAAAAATGAACAGATTTTTGGCCAGGAGGGTTTAAATTCACATTTTGATCGAATTGACTATTCATTTCTGAGAAAATGAATGATACAAATAGTACCCTGTAGATCGTTTGTTCCGAGCACCTTGTATTTTCTGATGTAGCGGAAAAAAACTCTATCGAAAATCATTTTAGATGATATTTAAAATTTTGCAATCGGTTCAAAAATAACTGAGCTAGAGGGGGGGATATTCATGGCGAATCACACTGTACATATTTTTGGGAGAAACTAATTCATGCCTTATTTTCTCACAATGTTGCCAAGTATGATAGCGAAAAAATAATCGTCAAAATCACGACTTTGACAAATTTGATATTTAGTATCACCCATCACTATGAGCCATCGATATATATTTTTTGTTTTAGCTGTCATCATGCCCATCGACTTCTATTACCTTCCCGCCAGTCCACCTTGCAGAAACGTTCTTCTGGCTGCAAAAGCTATCGGAGTGGAACTCAACCTCAAGCACACCGATTTGATGAAAGGGGAGCATTTGACCCCAGAATTCGTCAAGGTAAGGTGATATCCAGATATTTTCATGTTTTACACGGCAAAACGTTTTAAAATGAAGAAAATCGCGAATTTACCAAAATGTGAGTGTCATAAATAACAGTGTCGCTGATATGTATGGAAACAGGTGAATATCTTGGTAACCTGTTGTTGGATTTGTTTGAATTTATGTATACAGTGTGACTTCAAAATATGGTGGATTTGAAAATTGTCTAGCCAATCTTGCCACTTTTTCAGTTATTCCGGATTTTTTATCAACTTCCATATTTTGAAGACAACACCCTGTGTTTCATTGTATCTTTAGATTCTTCTTGAAGAGCTGATTCCATCGATCTATCACATTTGGGGTCTAACGGGAATGATTACATAGGTATAGGGTGTTCAAAATCTAGATTTTTCAACTTTAGGATTTTTTTTGTCGAAACTATTCATTATCGATCAGAACCACTTCAATGTTTCTATCTTTACTTTTGATTTACTATCTACTACCTCACATTCGGTTTCAGCACACCGAAAAACGTACGGAATGAAGAAATCAGAACTACTCCGAAACTTTCCCGCTAGGAGCCCTTTTTAGCACAAAGTGCCTGTATTATTATCAGTTCAACCAGAAATATGCTCGTGAAAATCATCCGTAATCTCATTTTTGTCAACCAAGAAATGTTTACTATATAAACTGATATAACTCAGAAATGAGTTAAATTTCGAGTAGATGACAAAAAAGTTTATAAATAACATGTACTATTGAGTGCGCGTAATTCCCAAGTCGATGCAATCGATTATATTCTCGACGCGTCTTGACGCTCAGCTCTTAATAGGCTATGAATTTTCTAAACTTTGATAAGAATCTACTGACCCCATCCTTCGACTCTTTACTTTTTACAGTAATAAATTATTTCTATTCGTTTTCTAGACCGTAACAGCAATATTCATATTGGGACTAAAAATCTGCTAACCGCAATATACACTGGTCTTCCTCTTGGATTTGACTCTTCGGAACCTTGGCTTATAAATTCCACATATTTCATCGACGTAACGTGGAGATGGGTGAATCGCACTTCTGATGTCAGATTCTGAATCAAGGAATCGTAGATAGACACATGTTCAACACTTAAACAAATGCATTCACTCAGGATAGCTTGTACAACGATGAACTTCTATGAAAAACAACAACGACTGTCCGCTTCAATCGCATGATGATCACGAAACCGATGAATTGACATCTTGTGACATTCTTTAGGCGTTCTCTTCATTCACGGAGTGATCTGAACTTTGTCGCTAACAATATTGTTGATATTATATTGAGTAGGTACTGTCAGTTCAGAGTGATAATTCAAAATGTTTTGAATAAAGTTAAGTTTTCTTCCCATTTTACGCCTTCATAGTTTTTGGCAGCAATGCGAACGTGTCTTAATTTTTGTCCGGTCACGAGTGCAAAAATTCAGTCAAATGTCAAATAATGACATATCTTGGCACAGGCACACGTCAATTCTGTGTTGAGATCCGGCAGTGTCGACTTGGTAAATCGGTTGTAGAAAATAAATGGATAGTCTCACCAATAATTCGCATTATGTAATTTATGCTGATGATACTACTATACTCATATCAGACAAAAATGACGATAATCTATCGGAACACTGCCACAACGTTATGGATACAGTGATCTCTTGGTGTAGTGAGTGTAGTGTTAACTCACTCCTCTTTAATGTAGAAAAAACTAATGTAATGAGATTTCATCATCGGCAAAAACGTTGTTCAAATATATCTGTGCATGGTGATCTGCTGGGAAATGTTGATGAGTTAACATTCCTAGGAATCGGCGAATGTTTAACATGGGAATACCATTGTAACAAATTGATAAAGAAACTAAATTCTCTCTGTTATATGTTTCGGAGTCTAAAAACAATACTCACAGAAGAACAGTTGTTGTTGCTCTATCATGCTCAAGTTTCCTCCCGAGTTCGCTATGGTATAAATTTTTGAGGTAACTCTATCACCGGATGTTTTTATTGTACAGAAAAGGATTATAAGAATAATAGCAGGCATACCTAGTCAACAATTTTGCCGAAATATTTTTAATAGCCTTAACATTTTAACTGTCATTGGTGTTTTTGTATTTGAATTATGTGTTTATGTATTTTTGAACAAAGAAAAATTCATTACTAATAGGAATATACATGGTATACGAACTTGAAGCAATTCCTACTGGAAATGAATCCCTATACTTTAGAAGAATATTTTTCGGCAGCCTAGTCTTTTTGTCTCTGTCTCTGTAATGTCGAAATATTATCATTTTATCTTATGTCTCTGTCTCAAACTGTCTAGTTTTAAGCCTTCAATCTGACGATTCCTATACATGTAAAAATGTCTAATGGAAAATAAACGTATTGTATTGTAACTATTAATTTCAATAAATAATTCAGCGTTTTTATTTCTTGTTTCTTGTATTCAAGATCAATCCCCAACACACTATACCTACCCTAGACGACAATGGCTTCATCTTATGGGAGAGTAGAGCCATCATGGTCTACTTGCAACAACAGTATGGTAAAGATGACAGCCTCTACCCAAAGGATCCCAAACGAAGGGCTGTGGTCGACCAACGCTTGTACTTCGACATGGGCACTCTGTACGCAAATTTGGCCGATTATTATGTGAGTTAGATATTTTCAACATTTTTTTCTTTAGTCAAGCATATTTTCATTTTAAATAATTAATGTCGTATAATAGTAATTTCCTAATTTTTTACTCTTCCTAACTGACGGAAGTCTTACTTACGTAACCAGTTTCATAACTGATGATGAAATGTTCATTTCAACACAAGTATCACGCACAGATAAAAAGGATTTCTTGATTCAATGCACCGCATTGATTCAACCATATGGGGCTCTTGAAAAGGTCCAACCAAATATTTGTTTGATTTTTCTACGAAACTTTCTTGACTTACTCATAAAAGAAATCTTGATTCGAATGAATATTTCTTTGAATGAATTAAATAGTTGACAACAAGAAAATTCTCCTATTGACAAGTTAATCTTCCATCATATTTGAACAATTTCGTTCTTGAATCAAGAAATTTCGAAGTTGTTACCAGTCACCATTTTTGATTTTTTTTACTGAAATGAGATTTTGTCCTATTTTCTCATCATCCTGTATATTCCACAATAGTGATTTTTTCGCCTTTCATTATCCTCCACAAAACATGAGAACAGTTCTTTCCAATAGTCAGCTCAAGTGGAGTTCTAGAGAAAAATTTCAAGAAATGCAAGACTTTCGAAAAAAAAATCGAATTTTTGTTCCAATGGCCAATTGAGAAGAAATCACGAAAACGTCCCGAGATGAGGTCCCAGAGTATCATAATATGACTGACTTTTGATCAGAAAATTTTTTTTCGAGTTCTGGCAGTATTGGAAATGTAGACCATAGTGTAATGGTTCCACTTTACACCCTGTGTAAGTTTTGTTCCGCGGACTTTTTCAGAGTGTTCTAGCTCTCTTTGAAGACGATGAAACATCTCATCTGATATCGAAAACCGCATGAAGATCGGTCAGTTTTTTCAAGAAATACAGGTCAAATTATGAGTCGTCCATTTAGTGTGTTGAGAACTAGATAATAATAATGTCATTATAATAAGTGAATATTTTTTCAGAAGATCCTCTATTTCTTGTGCCGAGCGATTGAGTAATAGCTTTCTATTAAAGTATTGAGTGTTAAATAAAATTAATTCTAACAGTTGGTGAACAAAAGGCTTTATTATCAAAACTTGGTTATTCCATTATAACATAACAAGAATGAAAACATGTATAATATAAATTCAGGAGGTATGGAATATTCATTTTTCAAGATTATTGTAGTTTGCTATCCTCGTCTTCTTTCCCAGAATATCACTGTGCTTGAATTGGCTCGAATGTTGAACCACGAAAACATAGAGAAAAGAGTAAAATCATCAATTGAAAAATGTCTAGTGTGTTTTGCTGAGGGGCTTGTTAAATGGGAATCAATAACCGTATACCTATAGAACTTGCTTCAGAAGAAACAACATTTCCATTCATCACAGCCAGGCATTGTCAAAAACAAACGAAATTTCAAGACAAACAGATATTTTCTGGACAAGAAATACTGCGTTTGGCAAAAAGGCATGTATAAAAGTTGTTATAGGTGTGTAAAAATACGTAGGAATCATTCATTTTAATCAGGAATCGATTAGGAAATATACAAGAATAGATACCACATTGCTGTGAATAATACACCACTATTATCCATGACTCTCAGCTCTACTGGGATGAAATGGTCTTGACTAACTGTCAGAAAGGCACATTAGTGTTGTACACTGACGGATCTGAGACTGATGAGGGTTCGGGAGCCGGAATATATGGAGATAGACCCAGAATCAGGATTTGTGCTTCCTTGGGGAGGTATATGCTTCAGTATTCCAGGCAGAGGTGCATGCTATTGAGGCATGTCTGAGAGAGAATATCGTAAGATACAGAGGTGAACAAATCCTCATATGCTCAGATAGTCAGGCGGCCATTCAATCTTTAACATGCAATAAAATCAGATCAAAACTGGTCTGGGATTGCCTTCAAAGCCTACTAACCCTGGCTAACCACAACAAGGTAACTCTTCAATGAGTGCCAGGGCATAAGGGAATTGGAAGCAATGCAGCAGCTGACGCTCTTGCTAGGCAAGGGTCTGCAGCGTTGTTTATGGGACCGGAACCTGTATTCGGTATCCCCAAAACCTCAATACGCGGCTGGCTGGCAAGGTGGATGCAAGAAAGACATCAGGCATACTGGAACAATGTCCCAGGACAAAAACACAGTACACTGATGGTTGGAACACTGTCCAGAACAGTGACTAACGACAGAAGTCAGATCAGACAAGTGACGGGACTAATAACCGGTTACTGCCCCTTGAGGCTGCCAAAGGCTGCAGTGTTTTGGGCTTCGAACCCTGACTGATCATTCTGCTATTAATCAATCAATCAATCGATCCATGACTCAGCCCACTTGATTGTTGAACACTTCACCATTGAAAAACAGAGGTGCTTTGCACCGTCTCCAGGGGAAACAACAGCTGCTAACGACTGAGGAGTCGAATGGGCGCAGGCGTACCGCTGTATATACGTCACTGCAAGTCTATTAGAAAAGCAGAGATTTTCTTGAACCAATATAAATTGGAATTTATGAATAAATGAAGAAATATACTGTTTAGGTTGAGCAAATTCATATCAAGAAATTTCAAGAAACGAAGCAAGCAGGTCGATTGATTTGAGACACGTGTATATATCCATTCGAATGAAAAATTCTTGTACGAAGGTATTCAAGTTCAAGGAGATGGATTTGGTTGTTTGAGGAAGTCCTTTTTATCTGTGCGGGATGAAATGGATACCTTTGCTCCCTTGATATATAAATAGCTATTAACTTTAACTAGTTATTATAAGTACATTCCTAACTATGTGTATGCAATCAATTTCAGTATCCTGTTATCTTCCGAAACGCGTCCTATGACCCTACCAAACTCGAAAAGATCAACGACGCCTTCAAATTCCTGGACCTCTTCATTGGAGACAACGATTATTCTACCGGCAGCAACCTCACTCTTGCCGATCTGGCATTGGTCGTCACCGTCTCCACCTACGAACTCTTGAAGTACGACTTTTCTCCCTACAAGAACGTCTCCAGATGGTTCGCCAAGGTCAAGGCAACTGCGCCCGGTTACGAGGAAGCTAACGGGAAACCTTTGCTGGCTTTCCAAGAGCTGATTGACACGCTCAATAAAAACAAGAAGTAGATGGTTTTGAACTTTCGCCTCCTACCATGGTGAACAGCGGTCTCTATAATAGTTCAAATTTGGCTTTGGCACAATCCCAACTGATGAGCTTTACTTACTCCTGGAGTCATTGCTATAGTAGGAATGTGCAAATATTTTCTGGTATTGTGCTTGTTTTTTCCATTTTTTGGATAGCACAAAAATGAATCTCTGTTATTGTGTTCATGGAAAGTGTTCGCTGGGCGAAGAATTCTACCAGTAACTGAGATGGTAAATTTGTCGAAAATGTTTGCCAGTGCGTACATATGGGAGTGAAAATTGTGCACTGACCAATCGTTAGAGAGAGATAAGAGTCCACTATTGTAGAGGCCATTGGTAGGGAGTTCAAAATTTTTCATTCAATGCCTATTTCCTGTTCCATGTTTTAATATAGCTACCTCTAGTACAGAACGTTTTGAAGAAATTGTGTGATTTAATCTGGTATCTGGCATATATCTCCAATATATACTGAGATACTAAAATTTCACGATCAATTCCAATGTAGGTTTATATTTTGTTGAAAAAATAATAGGAGTTGCGTCCAGTATACCAATTTTATTATAAAATTAGAGATCCATAATATTTTCTTGTTATTCAATAAAGTTGAACACAATAAAGAACCAAGCCTTTTATTTTATGTCCTAAAAATTGACCACCTGTAGAAAGAAATCCTAGATTGCTTATTTTTTTTGTAGAAAACGACATTCTAACGACCTCTGTGTGGTACCGCTGCCAAATCACCAATTTATGAAGATTATTGGTATAAAACATCTTTTAATTGCAGCATTAAGAGATTATGACAAAGAATGGAACGAGTTATATGATATGAAAATACATTTTCATATCTGCATTCAGTGCGATTATCAATCACTGACGACACGATCGACTTTGACAACTTCAAATTATTTGGATATCACTCGGACATTGACAAATGTTTCATAATTTTATTACAAATTTCTCAAGCTCGTTGCTTGGAACTGGTCCATCGGATATTATCTTTAGACGAGAGCGAAATATTCACGAGGAAATACTGATGCTCTGCCACTAACTTAGATTAGTTTGAATCGCGGCACGTTTGAGTATTTGCAAAAGGGACATTTTTCTCTTTCATTTGCTCTTTGTTTCAACTCGTTATCACATGACGGAAGTATGTCCGGAATAATAGCAACAAATGAATCGCTGTGCCGTGGACGATTTGGCTCAGACTGAGGGGTGGCACAAGTATAAGTTTTTGAGATGTATCATTCAATTGGTATCGGATGGCATCATTTTTATCTGGCTATGAAATCGCGAAATCGAGTGCATATTTACGCACAGTAGAGTGCAATTTTTTATTCATTATGCTCAGGATAGTGATTTTGGCACAGGTGGCGTTCGATGAACTTCAATGTTTTTACTTTATTCCTTTGGGACATAGTATACAGGGTGTCCCTAGACCAGTGGGACAGTTGAATATCTCCTGAACCAATAGGAATTTTCAAAATATTATACATTCACATAATATCGCATTATGAGTGCTAACTTCAGGAATGACTATATTTTCTACGAGGGGCGAAACTGAGAATTCTACTCCACCCTGTATTTGTTTCAATTAAATACGAGTAAATAGTAAAGCAAAAGTCAAGATATGGACATTTAAACCGTTTTGACCAATAATGAATAGTTTTGACACAAAAAATTTCCAAAAATGAAAAATCTCGATTTTCCACACCCTATATCTCGAAAATCATTCCCACTAGACCCCAAGTGTGCTAGGTCGTTGAATTCAGCTCTTCAAGAAGAATATGAAAATGCAATGAAATACAGGGTGTTCCTTTTGAAAAAATTGATATACGATTTTTTGAGCCTTTCTTGCGCCCCTCGTATAAAATATAGTCATTCCTGAAGTTAGCACTCATAATGCGATATGATGTGAAACTACAGTGTGTCCATTTAGTACGTAATTCTTCGATATCTCGAAAGCCATAACCTATAGAGAAAAACTTTGCAAAACAAACTTTTTCAGTTACTAAAGTTGCTCATTTCAAAATCATTTTCAACATTACTGGGTGTTTCATAAAAGCAGGGCAACTCGAAGAAGAGTTTTTTTAAATGGAACACCCAGTATTGTTCATTCGGAATCAATTCAATCGAGGTTCACCTTCACATCGCTGTAGAAAAAAATTGAAATCGGTTGCGGCGTTGCCAAGTTATAATTGATAAATCTATTTTTACCATTATTGAAGAGTCATGTTGAATTGGGCATGGTCTATTCATTTATTCAGATTTTGGAAATATTTTTGGCATACGGTAGGAGCATGGTCCAACGTATACCAATCCAGTAATTTTGCGACATGTTCTCCAACAGGGTGCTCACTTTTGCATTTAGAATTTTGCAAGATTCAGATGACATTCATCAGAATTTTTCAAATGGGACACCCTGTATTTTTATTCAAGAATTCATTTCGACATCTTTCGCCTTTTTATCGCTGGAAAACAAATCGGAATCGGTTGCGGCGTTGTCAAGTTATGGTTGATTTCCTTATTTTAACTATTATTTCGGGGTGATTTGTACGTCATAGTTCTTTCATTTAATTGTATTGTGGAAATATTGCGTTGCTACCGTATATTCAAATTTGTTCATTGACCATTCATATATTTTTTTACAAAAGGAACATTTACAGGCTCTCCAAGTTTGAATTTTTTTCGAAATATTTGTGTAATGACCTGTCAAACATCGCTACAATCAAAAATATCTTGGATTGATTCAATATTTTGCTGAATATCCTCCCAAAATCCGCGTAGTAGAGACATATTGTTTGTATCATTATGTTTACCTCCTTCAAGTTAAATGGAGATTTGGATTATGGAAATAACCACAATAAAAATGACCAAAATTTCAAAAAAAAATCCTAATTTTCGCAATCCGCATCTTCATTGTTTGTCTTGTAGAAGTTATTTCAAAGACAGGCGTTGCTTTTGGCATGTTTGTTGGTTTCACATATTATTTGAATCATAAGATGCAAGATTACGGGATATTTCAAATTTGGACGATGCACATATCACAAAAATACCTGAATGATCTATGTAGAACCTCGAATGTCATGTGGCAGGCAATATTCCCACACTCAAATCAAATTAAGGAACCATCATGACGAACAAATTACCCCGAAATAGTAGTAAAAATAAGGAAATTACTCATAACTTGAAAACGCCGCAACCGATTTTGATTTTTTCTTCTGCGATGAAAAGGCGAATGATGTCGAAGTGAATCCGTGATGAAAAATACAGTCGTCTGAATCTTACAATATTCAGAATGTAAATTTTAGCACCCTGTAGAGGATTATCTCGCAAGATTACTGGATTGGTATACGTGAGACCAAAAATATTTTCGAAATTTCAATAAATAAATATATCATACCCAATTGAACATGACCCTTCAATAGTAGTTAAAATGGGTTTATCAATTATAACTTGGCAACGTCGCAACCAAATTCAATTTTTTTACAGCGATGTAGAGCTGAACTTGAGCGGAATAAATTTCGAATGAACAATACTGAGTGTTCCATTTGAAAAAACTCGTTTTCGAGTTTCCCCGCTTTTATGAAACACCCAGTATTGTTGGAAATATTTTCGAAATGAGCAACTTCAGTAACTGAAAAAGTTTTTCCTTCAAAGTTTTTCTCGTGTGATAATTGATTTCGAGATATCGAAGAATTACGCACTAAATGGACACACTGTATAATATTTCGAAAATTCCTATTGGTTCAGAAGATATTTAACTGTCCCACTGGTCTAGGGACACCCTACCAGATCGTTATCAGATGACGGTAGAAATCTGCAGTCGGCTCTCCTACTATATCACATTACCATAGATTGTTTATTAGTGAGTTGTTTCATTTTATGTCCACCTCTCTATGTATTGACTAAAGAATTGAACCAACCTAGATAGTATGGTATGTACAGGGTGCGTCTCCTAAAATGGAACCCCCCCTTAACTCTTTTGTTTTCAGAGATGTGAAGAGATGTTGGATTAAAAAGTTGTTTGAAACAACCCAAACTTTTATTTCGTGAAGTTGCTTCATAAACAGGGAGGGTCATTCGTTTTTCCGGAAAGGACATATATATTTTCTGACATGTCGATAGAACCTTTTTTCTGATTCAAAAAATATATATGAGTTGCAAATTTGGATGAAAAATAATTGAGTTATTGATTCTCAAAGTTTACCAAAATACCGAATCTTCCATTGAAACTGTCGATTCATATTTTTTCATAATACAATGACATTTTCATGGAACTTGAACAATATATAAATGTTATTTCAAAGCCCACTATATTCAATTTATATAAGATGATATGAATAAGTGAAGGTTCATAATGCGGTATTATGGTAAAATGTTATCATCAACAACTCAACTATTCTTAATACGAATATGCAACTTATGTATATTTTTGAAATCAGAAAAAAATCTCTATTGACGAGTTGTAAATTATATAGGGTGTTCCATTGAAAAAATCAAAGTTGATGTCCATTCGGGAAAAACGAATGACCCTGTACATGAAACAACACCACGAAATAAAAGTTTGGGTCGTTAGACACAACATTTTCATTCAACATTTTTTCATATCTCTAAAAACGAAAGAGTTAAGAGTGGATTCCATATTAAGAGGCGCACCATGTACACATATACATACCTATTCAGTAATAGGAGCGCAAGAGCGTACCAGCATACTCAACATGTCGTAGGTGTAGGTAGGCTGTAGAATAGATAACTTTATCATACCTACCTTACCTACCATGGTCTTTTTACTATTACTCTTATGAATATCTACCTACATACTATGTGTGCTCTCGATAATAAGAAATCAGAATCATTGTCTAAGAGTAGCAGCAGGTTGCAAGGGAGTTCAATTGCATTCTCCTGTCGGAAAACAAAATACATAGAGAAAATTGAGAATTTTCTCATTGAGTGTCTGTTAAAATGAAAACACACAGGTTCTAGGTTACTGTTCAAATTTGTTTGCTTATGGATTCCACTGAACACAAACATCGCTGGGAGGTCACATTCATGTCTCGCTAGGTAATAATGCGAATCACAAGAAAACATCATTGGTGTTGCCAGGGGACTCTTCATTTTAGAAAACATTTTCAATATTCGTCTCGTTTTACTGAATGTGAGACTTCCCAGCGAGCACAAAAACATCTCAGAGATGTTAAAAGTACGAGATTTCGAGACATTGAACCTCCACTGCGATGTTTTGTTCACACATGAATAGAACTATTATAGAACCGCCAATGTCCGCCGCAGGCGGCAATTATCGATATGTCCTTGATATGTCACAAAACTACCTTCTCCCTAGTTCTCTTTAAAGCCTTTTCATGGACACAACAAAACATTTTCATCGCGTATTCCGCACATTAAATCGCTGAACAAAAAACATTTTCGAGGTACTTTTCTGAAGCCTTTTGTCAAAATGAACTTCTGCATTAGGATTCCATTTCCCTTGAATGAAAAAATGCAATAAAAATAGATTGAACATAAAAATATTTTCTTGATATGAAATTACCTTCTTAATCGGTTTCTGAGTAGTGCTTACTACACACAGACATATAATTGGAAATAGGTTTCCCAATTATTGAAATGTTCTCCACAATGCATAATTTTGCAACGGCGGAGAAGCTGTGTATTGATAAATTCGTACTTTTATATATTGATTACACTGTGGCACCGAACAACACATCTTGCATCTGATGGTCATTATTACAAACTAAATAAGTCTTCTAACACAATGAACTTCACCAAATTCCTTTCTGTTCGTTAGCAGCGTGATGTAGAGGTAAGCGTGACACGCTGCAAACGCGAATGCCAATTGCGAACAAGAAGAACAAAATCGAAAACAAATCAGAATTCATCGTATTGTAACGTAAGCATGAGA